CAGCACCAACTGAAAGTAAAGATGCATAAAATATGATCGACATGATGCATAGAATATGAGTATTGAAGAAATTAAAATATCTTTGTAAGCTCACGATTTTCTGCTCTTTGGAATTTAAAGCAACTTCTTAAACAGTTTCTTTATTCGTACAATTTACTTTTGTCAAGCTTTTATGCACTTATGGGTTCAGCAGAGTGCTAAGGCAATTCAATCCCCAAACAACACGCCATCTCAACAGCTTTGGTCCCCTCTGGGGCACACTGTATAACATATTTACTTAATAAATATTAATATTATGCATGCACATTAATTTGATTAGTTAAGTTAGTTTATTATTTGTGACAACCACAATCACGTTAAAGTGACTAGGTGCAAGTCATGTCCGGATCAAATACTGTTTCTAGAATATGCTTGTACCTTATCTTGAGGTATAGTTTGAAAGACGATGGCGATGTAAAACTGGAAGGATCAATCGAGACATTTGCACTGTTCCATAATTTGACAACACGATTAAAATACGACGAACTGTACTTACAAGTTTTACACAACGGAGTTTCTAAGTATTTGGTCTCAATGCCCTACGTGTCCGTCCATGATTGACAAAGTTAACAAATTTTGAGACATCAATGTCGATATATCTGTTCACAGCCTTATAAAAAAATACTAAATCTTTGACCTTGCGATCGTACGCAAGAGGAAGCATATCCAGTTGCTGAAGTCTCTCTTTGTAGGATAGTTCACCGGCTATGACGCGCAAGATCCACCTCGTAGCACGTCTCTGAAACTTGTCAGCCTTTTGTTTCAATAAGGAACTTGCTGGAGACCAAACCGCAGTCGCATAACTTAACTTGGACCTAACCAACGTCAAATAGAGAGACTTTCGAACACTACTGTCAATAATTGAAATACATGTTCGCTTTAATAGACCGAATATAATTTGTTACCCTTCGCACAAATGCAGGTAAGATGTGATTCCCATCACAAATTCTCAGTAATAATCACCCCGAGATCTTTTTCTTCATTTACTCGAAGTAACTTGGTAGAATCCATATGGTACTGAAAATACAATGGATTGACCTTGCGTGTTATGGACAGAACTTTGCACTTTGACGCATTAAAGTTCATGTTATTTTGATAACTCCAAGAACTAAGTTCGGTTAAAGCGTCTTGTAATTTCTCACAGTCACCGATAGTTGATATACGTCCCTGTAGACTTTGGTGTCATCTGCGTAAAGTCCTGTAGAGATACAATCTGGCACAACGTCTGGTAAATCGTTTATGAATATTACAAATAGCATAGGACCCAAAATACTTCCTTGCGGAACGCCCGAAGTAACATGTGCCCAGTCGGAGACTGCACCGTGTACAACAACTCGTTGGAATCGTTGATGCAAATAATCTTTGAACCAATCATGCATGCGGTGTACTACACCAAAATGTTTAAGTTTTTTTAAAAGGATCTGGTGGTCTACGGTATCGAAAGCCTTCTCAAAGTCTATGTACAGTACATCAGTTTGAACATTTTGGTCCAGATTCTTCCCATTCTGGACAAAAATCTTCTGAAACAGATTCTTCCCAATCCTGACAAAGCAATTGGGTGGCACAAGAGCGGTTGCGTTGAAAACCATGTTGCAACGTTGTGATGAGATGTTTTACCTGAGCACGCAGACCGTTCCCAACAAGATGTTCTAGAACTTTGTTTATTATGCACAGCAGAGAGATAGGTCTGTAGATGATGGCTGGTTCAAGGGAATCCATTTTCTGCACTGAAGTTATATTGGCCATTTTCCATTCCGACGGTAAACGAGCTGTTTCTAACTATCGGTCGAAGAGGGAGCAGAGGCTTGGCGCGATTTCATTGCTTTAAGTTTTAAGGAGACGAGCAGGGATTTCATCGAACCCACTTGCTTTCGTGATGTCCAGAGCATTGAGATAATTTGTAACATCTTCAACTGTCACAGTGAGTTCGGATAACAGTATTTCGGGTGGAGGATAGTCTACTGAATTCGTATTGTCCATATCGTGTTGCGAAGAGAGAGGACGAAATACAGAAGAGAAATATGAATTGAACAGTTCTGCCTTACCAGCTGGTGTAGTTGCTGTTTTACCATTATGTGTTACTTTCGAAGTTGACTTTCCATGGTGATGTAAGATAGCCTTGTGGTAACTCCAGGATAATTTGGGGTTGTCCTTGAAAGAACCTTCGATTTTCTTGAGATACTCGCGGTGCTTTTCTCTTATCAAATATTTCACTTTTTGACTTAGTTCGCGCTTTTTTTGTTTGCGGATATCAGATCTGTCCTTCCGAAATTTTCTCAAAGCATCGTATTTCTTTCTTATGAAATGGCGAACTTCTCCGTCAATCCAAGGCGGACATTTTTTGTCTTTGATGGTCCTTGTTGCAACAAATTTACCCACAACGCCAAGAAACAATTTTTTCCATTTCAGCTATCAATCATCGATACTGTCCGTTGACATAGTGAAGTCCGGTAATATGCGCAGAAGGTAACTGCGAAGTTCATCGAAGTTACCTCTATTAAAGTCGAACACTTTACGTTGCACTGGCTCGAATCGTTTAAATTTTAATTTAATTGAAAATTCAACAGCATGGTGATCAGTTGGAAACACTTGTCCAGGAGTAAAAGAGGTAACATTTTCGACAATTTCTGGACAGTTAGATAACAATAAGTCAAGCTTGTTTCCATTGATGTGTGTAGGACCTTTAATAAATTGATGCAGAAAGTTATCCCCTACCACATCACACAAATTTTCCCCTGCCGCGTGTCCGCCTGTGTTAATGGGTCTATTGACCAATTCACTGAAGGAATGTTGAAATCGCCAACCACTTCTAGAAGGCTTGATTCGCGAGTACTCTTTAGAGAGGAGTTCAGTTGAAAAAGAATTTCTGAAGTTGATCCTGGAGGACGGTAGAAAATGTACAATAATAATTGTTTACCATTAATGACAAGTTCAAGCACCACCATTTCCGTTCTTTCCATTTCCAGATCTTTACGTCGTGATACTTTGAATTCATTTTTAACAGCTACAAGTATTCCGCCACCAGTTTGACCAGTCCTGTCTTTACGAAAAATGGAATACCCGGTTAACAATTCACTATGGAACACCGTATTATTTATTCAGTGTTTTCATGGCCGCTGTTCCGGACATCTGGTGCAATAAACCTAAAAATGGGGTTAGCATAAGGAATATATACCAGGTCCATGAAATACCTTTTTTGCAATTTTGCTCATTACTCGTATTAATAAGTGGCTATTGGTGGTTAAATTAATCAAATGGGTCATTAATCAATTAAATTAATCAAAATTTATCTAGAATGCAATCTTTAATTAAGCCAATAACATAAATTCTGATTTTAGTCGTGCGATGGAGGTAGCTAATATTTCATTGCGGACAAAAAGGGTTGCCAATAATGGTCAAATTTCTCTTCTTTCTCTTCTTATTTAGAAAACTTTAGATCGTACAACATCAAAATTCAGGCAGTAAATTTTGTAGGAATTGGTGTTGCCGCCTATTCTGACAATGTCCTTATTGGGGGTGATTCAAGAACGTCAACTCCGACTACAGTATCTAGTGGCAGTCAAGGTGGAAATTCGGGAACCCGCATAGTTGCCATTGCAGGGGGAGTGACAGGATCCATTATTTTTCTTCTTGCTGTGATTTCTTTACTTTTCCTGCAAAAACGAATCCAAAAGAGAAGGCGGGCGCAATCAGTTCAGGTAAATCATATTTTAAACCATTTAATGAAAAGTCAGTTTTTAGGGGATTATATTACAACGCAACTCTTGATTGACCTTTTTATAATTTGAAAATACAAGCAACACGATAATTTTAAGAATAGTTTTAAAATTGAAAAATTCCCACTAAATATCACTTTTAATTACAAAATGATCAATTTCCCAAACAAACAAACAATATATATATATATATATATATATATATATATATATATATATATATATATATATATATATATATATATATAATAAGTGCAACGACTCAACAAATTCCACCAGGCATCTTTATTACTATTAGTTTCGTACCACAAGATGTGGCACTCATCAGATAAATTAGCCTTATTCGCCCTAATTAGCCCTATTATATTAAGGCTAATCTATATGATGAGTGCCACATCTTGTGGTACAAACTAATAGTAATAAAGATGCCTGGTGGAATTTGTTGAGTCGTTGCACTTATTTAATTATGCTCTGGATATCCATTGAGCACTCTGCCAAATGTTTTTGTAAACAACGAAACCTAATTATATATATATATATATATATATA